AGTGGAGGATGCGTGTGACTCCGTCACGAGACGTCGTTGTTGGCGTCAACACTCGCACTGTGCCACTGTGGGGGTAAAAGGAGGGGAAGCGAAGAGGGACAGTGGCATGCAAGTAGTTTCTTCTTCGTTGAATCAATGCTTTTGTGGTGTCACTCTTCTCTTATCTCTGGTAATGCGCCCAGCATACGCCACACCGCCCTGTGCCACCCTTATCCCTCAAACCAAGCTCACCCCAAACCCCACTCTCCACCCAACCCTTTCCCCACACCCTCCCCCCCTTCCCACCCACAATCCACCCACTCCCACCCCTTCCCCCACCCACTATCCACCCTCTCCCACCCCTTTCCCCACCCTCTTCCCCCACCTGGCGGATTCAAAGATCTCTACTGCATTGGTGATGGCGCTCTCATCGCGTGTTCCGCCCAGCATACGACACGCCGCCCTCTGCGCCGCTGTCAAGCCGCTTGCACACCATCTCGCCGTTGAAGCCCCCCGCTGCCACCAGCCGTTGCGCACACACAGCGTGCTCACCTGCATGCACACACCCAGACACACACACAGACACACCCGCAGCCCACGTAATAAAAGAAGTGTTTTGAGACGTCTCAAGCCGCTTGCACACCATCTCGCCGTTGAAGCCCCCCGCTGCCACCAGCCCGTTGCGCACACACAGTGTGCTCACCTGCATGCACACACCCCACGTTGGAGTATTTAAATCGTTTTTTTTTTCCTTTTTTGTTTCTTACTGCATCAGTAAGAACACAACAAAAAGGCGGCGCAACCAGCCCGTTGCGAAGACACTGTGTTCTTCCTGGCATGCATGCACCCCATGTTGGAGGACTCGAAAAAAAGAAGGAAAATAAGAAAAAGGGAGGAAAAAAGACAGCATGATTCTGTTGCACACACAGCATGCTCACCTGCACCCGACCCACTGGTTCCCATGTCCCATCATCCGCCATTCCTGCCCCATTCCCCCCTGCCGCCGCCCCTCCCCCTCCATCCCCTCTCCCAGGCCCTGCTGCTCCCCCCGCGCCAGTGGCTACTCCCCCACCTGCTCCGCCGTCCCCCCTGTCCCCCCGCCCCATAGAGCCTGGGTCCGCCTGGGCGCAATGTGTGGCAGTGGTGGCGCGCTGGTGGTACAGCCAGGGGCGCGCTGTAGCTGGCGGAGGGCGAAGGGGAAGGGAAAGGGGAGGGGAGGGGGAGGGCGAGGGGGGGTTGGGGTTGGGGTGGAAGTGGGTGGGCCCGGGGTGGGGATGGGGAGGAGACAAAGGAGGAGACGGGGGATGGTTAGAGGGGTGAGGGAAAGCTATTGGAAGAAGAGGGAGGGGGGGATGGGTGTGGGTGGGAGGATGACTGCGGCTAAAAATATGACAGCTTCGCGAAGGGCAAGAAAAACGAATGGGTGGGACGGGGTCAGGTGTGGTGGGTGGATGACACAAAACGGTAAGAAGGATGCGCTGCCCATGGGAAACGGGGCACCATGCGTTCACTCAAGTAAAGAGAAGTCGATGCAAGGGGGCATGGGTGCATGCATCAATGTCTAAAGGCGAAGTATGGATGCATTTGATCGTGTGTGCATGCATGCATGTATGGTCGCTGTACATGGGAGATGGGCACGACGGGTCCGCTGAGGTCAAGGAAGTCAACGGAGCGGTGGGAGAGCGCGGAGTAGTGGCCGATGGTGTGGCCGTGCATCGTGTACACGTCATGCTTCGACGTCGCCCACACTAGGTTGCGCAGCTGGGGGGGAGGGGGGAGGGGGGGAGGGGAGGAAGGGGAGGGGGAAGGCGGGATCGGGGGGGAGGGGAGGAACAGAGGAGGAAGGGGGGGATGAGGAACGAGGTGTGACGTTGCTGTTGATGCATTCGCATCGCATTGTGATGGCAAGCAGCACGCGTCACGAGCAAGTTTCAATGCCGCAAGCCTGGAAGGAGAAGGGCGCACCCGGACGGGCGCACCTGGACGGGCGTATCTGGACGGGCGTACTTGGGCGGGCGTACCTGGACGGGCGCACCTGGACGGGCGTATCTAGACGGGCGCACCTGGACGGCCGTATCTGGACGGGCGCACCTGGGCGGGGCGTATCTGGACGGGCGCACCTGGCGGGCGTATCTGGGGGGGCGTACCTGGAAGTGCACGATGGTGGACTTGACGGCGCGCGTGTTGTAGGCGAAACTGAAGAACTTCTCCGCGTCCTGTGCTGACCTGCTTCACTTCCTGCGCGCAGGACGCAGTCACACACGTAGAGTCAACACGCGCACAATCACTACGCGCACTCACATGCGCACAGTCACACGCACAGAGTCACACACAGCACACAGTTACAACATGCCAAGGCAAACGAACGGGATTAGGAATGCACCAATGAATCTGCACCGTTTGACATGCCACAGTTTGGAAATGCACACTGGTCAAGTGTGTACGTCGCACCTTATCGCCTGCAGCACCCAAAGCCACCTTGTCAACAGCAATCGAACGGGACGTCGAGGTTTCTTGTACTGCTGCAGGCGCATGCAGCACGAGCTAAAGCACGTGCGCGCACCTTATCCACAGCGCCCCCAGCGCCCAAACCGCACCTTATCGACAGCATCCAATGGGACGTCGAGGTTCTTGTAGTTCTTGTACTGCTGCAGGCTCACGCAGCTCGAGCTAAAGCACGTGCGCGCACCTTATCCACAGCGCCCCCAGCGCCCAAATCGCACCTTATCGACAGCGTCCAATGGGACGTCGAGGTTCTTGTAGTTCTTGTACTGCTGCAGGCGCATGGCGCGGTACTTTGCGCGCGTGAAGTGCAGCCGCTCCCACGGGATGCCCTGAATGTCCCGCCCCCGCGCCGCCTGTTGTGCGCTCACGTCCGCCGCGCCGTCCAGCTGCCAGAGGGAGGGGAAAGGTGGTGCGGGAGGAGGGGCAGGGGCAGGGGCAGGGGCAGGGGCATAGACAGGTTGGAGAATAATCTCCGTATTCAAAGGGAATATGGCTGGAGCAGGTGAGTAAACTGAGATGGTTTGGAAGAAAAGCGACAGCCATACGCAACAGAGAGGAGGACAGCAGGCAGAGGCACGTGAGACAATGATACATCGCGCAACGGACAATGGACAATGGACGATGGACGGACCATGTCGTTGTCCTCGTCCGAGTCGTCTTCTCCTTGATATTGCCGCGCGTCGGCCGTCCTGTCCCGCCGAGGCGTCGCGTCCCAGTCCCAATCTCCCTGTGAGCCATCTTGACTGTCCGCGTCGCTGCTGTCATCGGTATAGTCGTACGCGTCGCATTCGTCGCTGTCTTCGTCGCACATGTCGTAATCCATGACTGCTTGCTCCGAGTCTAGATACCGCTGCGCTCGAGGCAACAGTCGATTCACGAAAAACATGAGAAATAAACGGGCACGGCATAAACAGTAGATCATAAAAGAAAAAAGGGTATGGAAGCATCTTCGGCAGATCAGTACGAGTTGACGAGACGAAAAGCGAATGGTTTAGCCAACATATCGTGTAGCTGAACGAAACTGGCTGTGCAAAAGGTTTTGACGATTAAGGAGCTAACCATGTAATCCGCTTCGCCGTCTTCTGTCGACGTCGCCATGCCTTCAGAGTACGAGCTCGACACCACTAGTAGAGAGAACGGGCTACAAAATTCTGTACCGCCTTTGTCAACCGCCCATATTGGCTATTAAAACCAGAAAGCACCCGCAGAAGACTTTGCTACGCGGAAACAATTCGCAGCACGTGACCCTAAGAGTACCGTATTCTGCGCCTGTGGAATAAGGCGCCAATATGATAACACGAAATCAGAATACAACGCGCGTCGCGCTATGCTTCGCAAGATTCTGTGTAACACGAAGGATAGGGAGAACCTAGAACAAGCAGGTGAAAAAAAACTTGCGTGCTGGGGGATTTGAGAAGCAAGATTGGAAGGAAGGGTAGGGTGGATGTGAATGTAGGAAGTCAGGGAGGAAGAGACAGGAAAGGAAGACCCTGGGGAATGGACAGGTGACGAAGGTGTTCGGCTGGTTGGGTTTGATGGGGGAATTGGAATTTGCGAATGGCATTTGCGACGGGATAGTGCGTGCGACGCAACAGAACTAGAATCAAGGCTAGCTGTCGCTTTGCCTAATTGCATGCCGTGTGATGAATCTAACGAGCCATGCGAGCGTTCTCGCACAGCAAGTGCTGTGCGGATAGAACGATCGCTTGCTGTGAGCCCTACGATTGGCCTGGGCAAATTTACAAGGGACGGGTGGTTGTGCGATCACCGGACGTATTGTCGCACCGGCTATTTACACCATGGGCGTATCGTCTTGTCGCAAGTGTCCCTTGCGATAACCCTGGGCTTTGGCCATCGGTCGCAAGTGCATGTGTGCATGTGCTACTGGACACGCGGCACGGGTACTTTGACCATTCCAAGGGTTTGCCCAACACTGTAGCGAGCTTCACAGGAAAAAATCAGATGTCGCTCAGACCCTGGGTCATGGTCACGGCCCTTTAGACAGTACAGCGAGAAACTCCTGCGACCAGCTGGCGAACCGCTGAGCGGGCTGTTTGTGTAGAGAGGTCCCGCCGAAATGTGCTATTGGTGAGCTACCATTCACTGTTGGCACACATTCGACATAGTGCATTTCGCTCAACCCTGGACATACTTGCTTGCGACCAGTGATCGGCTGCCAGGCGCTTGTGTCACAAGCTGAACAGTTGATTCTCCTTTTTCCAATCATTCCTTCTTGCAAAAGACGTCACGGTAGTAGTATTTTCATACATTCTCAAAATAATCCATACTCTAGTTATGTAGCATATGTTAATACCTTATTAAAAATAAAAAGCTTCTCTCAGATCAGTTCAGATACCAATAGCATCAAGCAACTTCCAGTGGTCCCACACAGGGGTCAGTGTGTTAGCCGCCACCACTCCACTAGCGGCAACCGCAGGCACACCGATTCCTGGGAACGTCGAATCCCCACAGCAAAACAGGCCCGGAAGAGGCGTCGTCGAACCTGGAAACGTCCCCACAACCTGCCTTGATTGCCGGCCCATAAGTGCCTCGGTGCCTCCTTAAATACCGCCCATGAGTCAAGGGGGTGCCAACCAATGCCAATTCACATTGATCCCGTGAGAAACCCGGACCAAGTACCCTTTCCACTGCTTTCCACATCACCTCAGCCCTCTCCTCCTTCAGCTTCTTGTATTCAGCCGATCGCCTATCCAGGCCTTGCCACAGGGAAGCGGGCTCGGTCCCCGGAGTGTACGCGTGCAATGAGACGGTGCCAGGTGGCGACAGTGACGCATCGAGAACCGTCGGGATGGAGATGAGGACCACGTTTTGAGGCGCATCGACACCGACCGACCAATCATTGACCACGATGTGATGGATTTCCAGGTCAGCAGGAAGATTCTCCTTCTTGATTCCGAGATGCAGGTGCATGAATGAATCACACTCAGGTGTAGCCTCCCTCTCTTTCCGATACTCCGCAGGTACACTCCCGGGTGGCAGCAGTCGCATGGTATCCCACACCGATGCATTACTCACCACGGCTGTTCGGGCGCGAACAACCTGCCCGGATTTAAGTTTTACGCCGACTGCCCGGCCGCCCTCCACCACTATGCTGTCCACGTGGCAGTTCAGGGAGAGCTGCCCGCCGTGCTTCTCCATCCCCCTTATAAGCGCCTCAATAATCGCCTCTGGGCCGCCGAGAGGGTACTCCATGACGCTCCCTGGCTTGTACCACTCTGCAAACATGTACACCTGGGGGAGAGCAGGGGGGTAGAAGGCGGCAGAGACAATGTTTTAGGTGGCTTAAGAAGTCATAATTGAGGCGACTAGGGATGAGGGTACTCCATGACGCTCCCAGGCTTGTACCACTCTGCAAACATGTACACCTGGGCGAGGATAGGGGGGGATAGGGAGATACGGGGGTGAGGGTGTTCAGATGTGAAGAGCAGGGTTCCTGAGAGAGGCAAGGAGAGGAAAGGTGAAGATGCCATGGCAGAGAAACTGTGTTAGTGGAGAAACCGCAGGTAAGTACAACACTACAACGGAAGCGGAGGAAAATACGAGAGCAGCTCACCACTTCAGCCGCAATGGTGGCGTCGGCCTTCTGTCCCGACAGCAGGAAGGAGAGCAGGTCGATCCAGTTGCGCACAAAGGGGTGCTTCACTCCCACTGAGTTGGCTAGCGAGGAGAACGGACCCATCAGCTTAGATGCATTGAGCGCAGCTGCAGGAGGAGGCGTGCGGGTGGGGGAGAGGGGTGAGAATAGGGCAAAGGGAGAGGAGGTAGGAGAGGAGAGTCCACGATAGGCAAGAAGGGGTCATCTGCCCACTGCCACTGCATCGGCAGTGGGCCAGGGAAGGCAACGGCCCACGCCACTGCACTGCAGTGCTGCGTTGCTTTGCACCTAATCCACTCGCTGATGCCATTGACTTCTGAGTCGACTCAAAAGTCACCACAACCATTTCCGCCTTCGACTTGGAGGTTACACGAGAGAGAAACACCACAGTTCCCCCATTGCCTCACCTGCAGGCCCAGCGTTGCCGAACGTGCGGAGCAAGCTTGGCCCGTACCTCAGCCCTGCGGTGAGCAGCACAGCAGGGTCAGCACGGAGAGCGGCTGGGGGAAGGGCCATGGAGGGCCCGGCTAGAGGCTCCACCACTGCCTGTGGGGGCGAGGGGAGTGGGAAAAAGGAAAGGGGGGTGGAGGAGATTGGGAAGGGGGAAGGGGGGAAGAGAGTGGGTGGGGTGCTGTGCTGCAAAGAGCGGCTGGGGGAAGGGCCATGGAGGGCCCGGCTAGAGGCTCCACCACTGACTGTCACGTGTTGGGGGAAAGGAGGTGCGCGTGGGTGTGGAGGAGAGAGCGGTGCAGGAGGGAGAGGGGAGGGGTCGGTTTTGGGTGGGGAAGAGGGGCTGGCTAGAAGCTAGAAGCAAGAGGTTTCCGCAATACCTGTGCGGCATGATGAGGAAACAGGTTAAAGCGGATTGGGATGAGACGTCTGGATAGGTTAGGAGGGAAGCAGAAAGCACTGTCGTCAAGGCAATCAGCAAATGGCACGCAGGCGGGTTTAGGAGTTCAGGGAGGCAAAGTGAAACCGATTGGCACGCACGCATGCATGCAGAGAGCAGGGGCGGTGGCCGTCTAGCACCTCACCATGAGCCGTCTAGCACCTCACCATGAGCCGTCTAGCACCTCACCATGAGCCGTCTAGCACCTCACCATGAGCCGTCTAGCACCTCACCATGAGCCGTCTAGCACCTCACCATGAGCCGTCTAGCACCTCACCATGAGCTTGCGCCAGTCGCGCACAGCGTCCTCCCCCACTCGCTGCTGTAAGACCTGCGCGCACAGGGAGGGCGGGAGGGGGAAGGGAGGGGGGGAGGGATGGGGAAGGGATGGGGGACGGGAGGGAGGGAGGGATGGGGAAAGGAACGGAGTTTAAGGCAGGGGCAGAGAAGGGAGCACAGGCGAGCAGTGAGGACCGTTGCAAGCAGGCGCGGTATTACAGAGGCTGAAGAACTGGCGCCTACAAGAAAGTGAAAATTCGTTGTAATCAGTGCCCGCGCACCCTCATACCTACACACCCGCACACCCGCACACCCGCACACCCATACACCTGCACACGGTGCGCACGTGCACATGGCATGAGTTAGAGAAGGAAGGTGCTACTCGTACTACCATACCTCAATGAAGTGAGACGGGCCGATGCGGGAGAGGAAGTCGCCTTCAGGCAGGTAGCACATCCAGCTGTCGTACGCCGCGCACGGCACGGTCTCCCCCAGCGCGTCGAGAACCTGCGCGAGCGGGTTCGCCTGCGGGCCGCGCGACGACAATCCTGAGAACAGCGATGGGCCCGTGTCGAACGAGAAGCCGTTTCGCGTGAATCCGTGCGCCGCGCCGCCCGGGAGGTAGTGGCTTTCGAGCACGAGCGTGTCGCGGCCGTAGCGCGCGAGGAGGCTGCCGCAGCAGAGCCCGCCGATTCCGGAACCGATGACGATGACGTCAGCCTCGGTTTTGCCGCGGAGGCCTCTCCGCTGCTTCATGTCTTCCGCCACTGTGCTCTCGGCCTCCGCTGAATCTGCCGCTGCGCTGCCCGCAGTGACTGCTGCGCGCACGCGGAAAGTCCGTTCATCGTGTGGTTGCACGGAATCGCGGCCGTAAGGTGAAGCGAGTTTCGTCCGATTCCTGATGCCCGGATTCCCGCGCAAGGCGGCAAGATCAGCATGACGACCGAGTAAAGGTTTAAGGAGGGATCGTTTAGACGATTCTCCGTGGAATGAGCTAGCATCGCGCGCAGGGATTACGGACGCTGGCAGCAGTGAGGTAACAGAGGCAGCCATGGTCATGCAATGGAAGATATTCAGGTTCTGGTGATGCAAATGGGACTACGTGGCAATTTGTGGAACTCCTGCCGAAATTGGTGCGGATTCCAGAATGAACTGTAGCTGCTTGTACCGGAGATGTTCAACTCGGACTGGTAATGGAGAAAGAAATTGCTTTCATTTCACTTCGATTTAGAGAATCAATCAATTTTCTGTAGTAGTAAATTTAATATTTTTGCGAGCCACTGTTTGTTTCAATCGGGAAACTCCTCGAAACTAAAATGAACCACTCTTAGATTCATTTTGTTTGCGCCCTTTCCAGGGCGCCGTGTCATGCGGAGAATCGTCGATCGTGATAAAGGAATGCCCATTGCAAAGTCTCACGCGTCGCATTGATGATCGCCGAGTCGTCCTTCGTTTGACGCAGCATCGCACTTCGCTATAGCAGAAAATTGACCAATGTTGACCGCCTCACCGCGACGCGATAACACCGACATTGCATTCGCTTGCCTTGCCTCAACTCTCCTCTTCCCCATCCTCCCCAATTTGAACCTCACCCCACCCCACCCCTGACCCTATTTATTAGTCTGACGTTCGTCGACACTCAGTTTGGCCCACAACCTCCGCGTTCAAACCAGTCCACATCACTGCACCGGGATTTTTTCATCCACGAGATTCCATTCCAACTCAAGAGCACTTGCCACATTTCTACCTCCTCTGCACGGAACGCAAACTGCACGACATGGCGCGCGGAAGAACTCGACTAGCAGCACTAGCCCTGCCGCCTCTCTTACTCCTTCTCCTTATGGCAACCCGCGCAGCAGCAGTCGAGGAGTACGGCGTGTGGGACAGCAAATTCACGGGCACTCTCTCGTTGATCCAAGGCGAGGACGGCGGCTCTTGCGGCTACGGCAAGACTAATGGTGTGCGGCCGTACAATCTCCCCACCATCGCGATTTCCTCCAAGCTCTACGAGAACGGCACCGGATGCGGCGCGTGTTACGCCTTGCAATGCGTCAAGTCGCAGATGTGCCGGCAGGATAAGATCGTCGCCGTGACGGCCACCAGTGAGTGTATCGGGCAGCCGCGATCCGGAATCTGCCGGCCCGGGAAAAAAGGAGTGATAATGTCGCCGTGGGTGTACGATCAGATTGTGAAGAACCGCGTCGCGGGGAACATTCGCGTGCGACTTGCGCGAATCCCGTGCAAACGACAAGGCGGTCTCGTTTTCAAGCCGGTTATGGGGACGGATTACTTTATTGGGGTGCTTATAATGAACGCCGCGGGGCCTGGCGGAATCGCGTCCGTGCACATGAAAGTGGGCGGCGCAGCGTGGCTGCCCATGGCGCGGAATTTCGGCGGAGTTTGGTCAGCGAGCGGAGTGAAAGTCATTGGCGTACCGATCTCGTTTCACGTCGTCAGCGCACTCAAGAAGTTCAGCCTCACGGCGCTGAACATACTGCCTGCCACGTGGCGCGTCAACGGGACGTATGTGTTCCCGAAGAATTTCCCCTTGACGGCCTGAATTTGTCGTCGAAGGGGACTGGCGAGACGCTTGATTAGGTTCAGTGGGAGATCTGTTGCTGGAGATTGTAGGAAAATGACAAACAGAAGTGGTTAGAAAAGGAAACAGAGGGGAGCAGCGCGAGAGGAAATGATGTGGGGATGGGCTGAGGGTTGGCTGTTACAGCTGTGTTTGCTAGTAAGTTACGACATGGGGAAGAGTAATCCCATGCTGGCTATTTGAAGCAGCTATTCGAAGAGATGTTTCCTTAAGGTGGCCTTTATGGATGTCAAATAAATTACCGTATGTCTTTTAACAGGTTTAGGAAAATTGAGATGCTGTCACGCCAGCAGATATTGGAAGGTCCAATCATATGCGAGAACCTGCACAGGAACCCTCCCCAGCCGAACCTTCCTGGAACCTCCAGCAGCACCCATAGCCTGCAAAATGTTATGCTTCTGCCCGTCTTCCATTTGCTCAGCTGCCCACTGCAACAGTCCCACTGCGTTTCTTGCAAAATCCTTGCTGTACCAGTGCAGGAGCTTGGGAAGCAGAATTTTCCCGCTGCCCGGATGCAGCTTTACGTTTGCCTGAATGTATTCCTGGGCAGCTGCTTTCAGTTGCTCGTGAACAGTGTCAGGGTGGTACACTCGGACCTGATTGGTTGATGGGAAAACGATGAAAAACATAATCGGACAGTCGAGGGCAATTTGCACAGGAAACTGGGGATCAGGGTGAGGGTGTGATAGCACAGTGGCAAGTAATGTGCGAATGTGTAAATGCCAGGGCAGAACAGCACATGTAAAAAGGGGAGAGGAGGGAGGGAATTGGAGAGGGGGGGTGAGAGTGAGGAGGGCCAGAGGGAGGCGAGGCTTACAGGGGGAGCGGAGGCGCAGCCACAGCTGAGAGCAAAGGTGACGAGAGGCTCGGGCCGGTCCAGAGCCAGGCTGTAGCGCACGTCCCCCCGCCTGTAGCGCTGCACTGGCAGCAGACCCGCCTGTGAGGAGAATGTTGAGAGGGTGGACGGTGGGGAAAGGGAAGGAGGTGTGACGAGGGTGCAGAGCCAGGCTGTAGCGCCACGCACGTCCCCCCGCCTGTAGCGCTGCACTGGCAGCAGACCCGCCTGAGAGGAGAATGTTGAGAGGGTGGACGGTGGGGAAAGGGAAGGAGGTGTGACGAGGGTGCAGAGCCAGGCTGTAGCGCCACGCACGTCCCCCCGCCTGTAGCGCTGCACTGGCAGCAGACCCGCCTGGAAAAGGGGGAAAAGCAGGGTGGTAGTGGGATACTTTCGTGCGTGTGTGACATTTTTGTGTGGGATTTTGAAGGGAGGGGGAGGAGGGGAGGGGGCAAGGGGGGCAGGGACAGTGATGGGAGCGCAGGCCTGGAAATACATGTGGGTGCAAGGCAGGGGGGAGGGTGAGATGGGAGAATCATGGGACTTACCAGTGCTGGTTGGAAGGACGCAGCTCTTAAAATGCAGTGCTCTATAGCGAGGATGGAGAAGGGCAGGCCAGCAATGATGTAGGCCGACTGCATGCATGGGTGGCGGCAGGGGTGGGTTGAATGGGAGGGGAGGGGGGAAGGGGGGAGGGGGCAGGGTGGGAGAGGGGAAGATGCTGGCGAGTGAACAGGGGGAACAAGCATGGGAAGGCACGACACTGATCTAGGCCGACTGCATGGGTGGAGACAGGGGGGCGTTGTTGGGGGGGTGGGGGAAGGGGAGATTGAGGAAGGGGGGTGGAGATGGTGAGAGGAGGGCGAGAGCAGGGGAATGAGGAAGATGAGGAATAGGAAGGGTTGATGGCAGAAACAGGTTATGAGGGATGTTGACTGGGAGATTAGGAGTGGGTGGCACCAGCTTAGCAAGGAGTAGGGAAACGTGGGGGCTGTGTCACAGCAGGAAAGAAGGGGAGTGATGTGAGGGGAGGGGAGTGGAGGGGAATAAGGGGTGGGGAGTGAGGGGAGGGAAAAGGGGAGAGGAGAGAGAGGAGGGGAGTGAGAGGGGGGGAGTGAGGGGAGGGGAGAGAGGAGTCAAACCTTGTGCATGAACATGACTCGCTTGTAGTGGCTGCGTGGCTGGCCATACACCAGATACGCCTGGGGGAAAGGGGGGAAAGGGGGGAAAGGGGGGAAAGGAGGGAAAGGGGGGAAAGGGGGGGAAAGGGGGGAAAGGGGGGAAAGGGGGGAAAGGGGGGAAAGGAGGGGGAGGAAGAGACAAGCAGCGATGGTGAAGGCGAGGACGTGTGTGCGGGCCAAGGAAGCGAGAGGGTGGACAAGTGAAGGCAAGGCAGTGATGCAGGACGGAAAGGAGGAGGGATGGCGACAGATGCACGTATTGACTCTACAGGTATGCCTGCTCACAGGAATGGCAGTGCGATATGCATGGCAGTGCGATATGCATGGCAGTGCGATATGCATGGCAGCACATGCACATGACCCCCTCTCACATGCACATGACCCCCTCTCACATGCACATGACCCCCTCTCACATGCACAGGACCCCCTCTCACATGCACATGACCCCCTCTCACATGCACATGACCCCCTCTCACATGCACAGGACCCCCTCTCACATGCACCTCTCATCGTATATGCACACATGCAGATCACACCATACTCGTCTCGCATGCATAAGCAGCCCATGCACAAGACCCCGCTCACATGCACAAGACCCCCCTCTAGTGCATAGTGTGCCCCATCTCACATGCACAGCACCATATGCGCACAGTATAACCCATCCTACATGCACACACTATGACCGCCCTCACATGCATGGCTAGTGCATTGTACACGTTGATCCAGAAGGCCAGTCGCTCCGAGTGCCCCAGCTGCTGTGGCTGCATGTCTGCCAGCAGCTCTGATAGGATCCTGAGACAAGGGGTGGGTGGAGAGGGGTTGAGGGAGGTTGAGGGGTGTGCCTCCACGCAGATAAACAATCATAAAGAGACAACTTATCAGCCAATTATGCATGGCACCTGACTCTGTTGCAAGGAACCTGGCTCTGTTGCAAGGCACCTGACTCCGTTGCAAGGCACCTGACTCAATTGCAAGGCACCTGACTCCTCACCTGAACCGTTGGAGCTCATGTCGATGAGCTGTGCCTGCTTCCGATGCCAGATAGTCCAGAACCACTTGCACATCCGTTACAGTCACATTTTCCCCATTTGTTACAGTCACATTTTCCCCATATGTTACAGTCACATCAGCAACCCCAGGTGCTGAGTCACCAGCACACACATCATCTTCAGGCAAATCAGGAGCAACGCCAGCAACAGCCGCTGCTGAGCTTGCAATGCTGCCAGGAAGACTGGCAACAGAGGACCAGGGGGAATTGGTAGCGGCAGCAGAGAGAGTGGAAGTGAGAGAAGCAGCGGACGAGTGTGGGGCAGCAGTGGTGTGTGAGTGAGTGTGAGAGAGGGTGGGGGAGGAGGCGGAGCGGGAGAAGACTCTAGGACCCATCCAGGAGAAGGCGCGTGAGCGTTCAAATGGGGTGCCTGGCTGCTGCTGCTGCTGCTGCCGCTGCGGCTGCTGAGAGGATATGTTGGAAGAAGGCAAGGGAGGGTGAGAGGTGGAGAGAGGGGTGGGAGGGTCAATGTGAGCCAGGGCGGAGTCAGAGTGCCGGGCAGAGACGGATGGCTGAGATGCTCCGGAACCCAGCGATGCGAGCGATGGTGAGGATAGCGAGGAGGTCAGTGTGGGGGATGGGATTCCGTGCAAGGCGGCGGAGGGTGCAGCAGCAGCAGCATCAGTAGCAGAAGCAGCATTAGCATTAGCATCAGCGTTAGCAGCGGCCTTATAGATGGCGAGGATACCACCAACGAGAGCCATTGAGAGCTCTACAGGTCGCCCCTCGTACTCCTCCCTTAGCCGCTCCCTCACTGGCCTCCCACTTGACCCCTCCTGCATGCCAGCCTGCCCTTCCCAAATGGGGCTCGCCCCCTGTGCACTTCCGCTGCCAGAGGCACACGCACTGGGATCACTGGCATAGGCAGCACGTCGAGTGCTGGGAATGTTGGAATCGTTGGGAGCAGCAGCGGCAGCAGATTCAGCAGCACAACCAGCATAAGCAGGAGCCGCTGCAGCAGCAGCAGAAGCAGCAGCAGCAACAGAAGCAGCAGAAGCAGCAGTACCAGCAGTAGCAGCTGCAGCAAGAGGAGTATCCGCTTCTAGAAGCTTATCAGGGTTACCATGTAACCACAAGTTGAATGAGCTCCGATTCTGCACGTCCCTGCCCTCTGCGGCCTCTGCTGAAAGCACCTGAGTTTCCACCTGGAAATCCGCCTGGGAATCTCTGCTGTTCAAGGCAGCGCTGCTGCGCTTACCTGCGACCCACCTCCCACTTGCTCTCCTCCCATCCCCCCTCTCAACCCCTCCTCCCCCCCACAACCCTGCTCCCCTTCCCCCCTCCTCCGACAAACCCTCTTCCCCCTTCTCCCCCTCTCCCATACGCCAACTCCCCCTGCGACCCCCATCTCTCCCCAGTAGGCTGCCCTTCCCCCTCCACTCCTTGCTCCTCCTCTCCTCCCCTCTCCTCTCCCTCTCCTCCTCCCTCCTCTCCCTCTCGTCCCTCCTCTCCTCCGCTCTCACCTCTCGAGCCGCTAGCATCATGCCCTCCCTCTCCTCCCTCTCCCCCTCCCTTGCCCGCTCTCTCAATCCCTTCGCCTCTGCCTTCTGCCTCCTCCTCTCTGTGCGCGCAGCAGAAGCAGCAACAGAGGCAGCAGCAGCAGCAGCACCAGAGGTAGCAGCAGAGGGAGCACTAGCAACAGCACCAGCGCTGCCGACACCAATTGAGTGGTCCTCCTCGGTATTACTTGTGGTTGTGCTGGTGCCGCTGGGTGCAATGCGGTGACTGGTGGTGGTAGGGGGCGTGGGGACAGTGTCTGTGCTGCCACGTGGCAGGTTCTGATTGAGTGGAGAGGAGTAGCCATTCTGTGTGTCAGCAGGGGCGGCAGGAGGAATCGTCTGGGAAGAAGCGATGGGGTGTGTGGCATGCTGCTGCAAGCGAGGCGTGATGTGGAACTGTCACGATGGGGGTATGGGGCATGAGGCATAAGAGTATGGAGGAATATTGGGCATGGGGCATGGGGCATGCGTGCCGCATGGGGGCATGGGGGCATGGGGGCATGGGGGCATGGGGGCATGGGGGCAGGGGGGCATGGGGACAGGGGGAAGGGCATGGAGACCACCATCAAGTCTTCTCCAGCCTTGCCTCTCAACGCCACAAAGGAAACGCAGGACACACACAGCAGGCACCCACTCAGGCGACGTTTGAGACGCTTCCCTCCCAAGTCATCGGTATGCCTCTCGCATCCTCACCTCGTGAAAGCAGCGGTGGCAGAAGAACTCGCCACACGACACACAGAACACAGCCGGCGCACACTCTTGCACTGCCCTGCCAGCTTCCGCCGACCTCTCTCTCCCCTCCAGCTGCCCGCCCTGGTGGTGTGTGCGCGCACAGCAGAGGGGGCAGAGGGGCGGGGGCTGCTCCAAGCAGAGGGAGAGCGGATGACCCAGGTCTGGATGAAGGAGAAAGGGGGGAAAGGGCGGGGAGGAAGGCAGAGGTAGGGATTGCTGGTGCGAGCGAGCAAAGCAGAAGAGCACAGCAGAGAGGAGCACAGCAGAGGGGCACAGCAGAGATTTCTGTCATTTCACCTGGATTCTCGAGAATTCACCTGAAAGCATCTTCTCTCCGAAGAGTTCTTCCTCGGCCGCCCACTGCATCTGCAACCATGCAGAGTACACACAGGGTACAGGGTAGAGCGAGCAAGGGACAAGAAACGAGGCCGTGAGGACACGGACGAGCTAGGTACACAGTATGCTTGTGAGGACACGGACGAGCTAGGTACACAGTATGATCACCATTTAGACAGTAATAGAATCAGCGGGGTTCGCGGAGGGAGGGTTGAGGGGCTGTGGTTATGCTTGTGATGCGATACAAACAGCCTTCTGCTTCAACTCTTCTGCTGCTGTGAAGTTAGATGCACGAGAGTGGGGTATGGCAGGCGCATCTCTCACCTGTGCTTCGTAGAACTCCACTTCATCATCCCACTCCTCATCCTCCTCCTCTGATTCCTCCTCCGTCTCCTCCCCTTCCCCCTCCCCCTCACCTCCCTCACTCTCACTCCCTCTTGTCAGCATCCCATCCCTCCTCCCCTCCCTCCCCTCTTCCACACCGCCCGCTATCAACCCGTCCCTCTTGCTACGACCTTCAGGTTCGGAGGCAGGTTCTGGAACAGGCTCGGCAGCAGGTTCGGGAGGAGGGAGGGGCTTTGGGACGGGGACCTGAGGCTTGTTCTTGTCGGTGATTGCAATGATCTGACGGGGAGGCGGAGAGCAGGGGAGGGGGGTGGGCGAAAGGGAGAGGAGAGGAGAGGAAAAAGGGGCTTTGGGACCTGAACCTGTGGCTTGTTCTTGTCAGTGATTGCAATGCTCTGACGGGGAGACGGAGGGAGGAGGGGGAGGGATAGAGAGGAGGAGGTGAAAAAAACGGAAACGATGTTCTAAGAGAAAAAAGGGAAGAAAGTTGGGGGAAGAAGTGAGCAGGGTACGTACGAAGAGAGAGGGGCAGACAGGGTGAGGAAGAGAGAGGGGCAGACAGGGTGAGGAAGAGAGAGGGGCAGACAGGGTGAGGAGAGGAAGCAAGAGTGTGGGGAAGAGAGAGCGTGTGGGCAGACAGGGTGAGGAAGCAAGAGTGTGGGGAAGAGAGAGCGTGTGGGAGAGGGCTGGGGCGAACCTGTTCGAGCGAGAGCGGGTACCAGTGGTCTAAGAGCCCGAAGCAGTTCTTGTGCGCTAGCAGGAAGATCTGGTGAGGGAAGGGATGCACGGGGGAAAGCGGGGCTTCAGGGGGGCGTGGTGGGGTATGGTATAGCCGGGCATAGCACACTGTGCCGCCACTGCATACCATACCAGTAGTCTACGAGGCCAAAGCAGTTCTTGTGCGCTCGCAGGAATATCTGGTGGGAGAAGGGAGATGGGGGGGGGGGGGGGGGGTGGGGGGTAGGGGGAGGAGGTGACGGGGGGAACGACGTTGCGGATAGGAAGGCTTGAAATGGGCGGTGTTGATTGTCTGGACGTAGATGTGTGATGCGGGTGGCATGGCAAAGCGTTGCATCGCATCACATCAACCATATTGTTGAGAGAACAGGTGGGCTGCGGAGGCCTTACGTCTCAAAAGGCATGGCAAAGCGTTGCATCGCATCACATCAACCATAACCATCCAAGTCCATCCACCTGCTCCCACGCACCTGCCTGAGCGAGTTGATGAGCAGCTTCTCTGCGCTGCTCTGCACGCCTTAATACTCCGCATGTGGTGGCATGAGACAGCAGCACCAGCACACGCATTCCCACACCCTCACCCACACCCATAACCACACCCACCTGCCCCCACGCACCTGCCTGAGCGAGTTGATGAGCAGCCGCTCTGCACTGTTCTGCACACCCCAGTACTCCGCCTGTGATGGCATGAGATGAGGCAGCAACACTGGTCCTCCAATCCACTCACTCCAATCCAGCATCCCCACCCACACCCTCACCGACAACCCACCCACCCACCTGACAGCACAGAGCGGCTGAGCGAGTTGATGAGCAGCCGCTCTGCACTGTTCTGCACACCCCAGTACTCCGCCTGTGATGGCATGACGCAGCACCAACTACCCATGCATTCCCATTCCCACGCCCACTCCCACACTCACATTCCACACCCACGTGCACCCACCCACCTGCCTGAGCGAGTTGATGAGCAGCCGCTCTGCACTGTTCTGCACACCCCAATACTCCGCCTGGGCTCGCACCACCTTGTATGCACACATGAGAGGCCGCTCCCTCTTCTGCCACCCTGGGGTTAGGGGGCCGCGACTGGGGTAGGATGGGGGACAGAGGGTGGGAGATGGGGGGAGAGTGGGCTAGGACGTGGACCACCTTGTACGCACACATCAGGTAGCGCCCCTTCTGCTGCCAACTCGGGGTTAGGGGGCCTCGACTGGTGGGGAGGGGCGAGGAGGGAATGGGAGAGCGAGGAAGGGAGGGAGTGAGGGGGGGTGTGAGAGAGCAGGGAACTGGCCAAAACGTCGACAGGCGTTGACTGGCGTTGACTCACCCTGTGAGCTTGGAGCGGACCAGCAGTGGGTCCAGCTCGGACTTGTAGTCCCTTCTGGCCACAGGCTCGCTGCCAGTGTCCATCCAGTCCACCCTCTGAAAATCCCAAGGCGTTGACTGGCGTTGACTCACCCTGTGAGCTTGGAGCGGACCAGCAGTCGGCTTCACTGCCAATGTCCATCCAGTCTACGCGCCGCAGCGCCCCGACAATCCCAAGGTGTTGACTGGCGTTGACTCACCCTGTGAGCTTAGAGCGGACCAATAACGGGTCGAGCTCGGCCTTGTAGTCGCGTTTGGCCACAGGTTCACTGCCAATATCCATCCAGTCCACGCGCCGCAGCGCCAGCTCAGCTGGTGACAATCCCAAGGCGTTGGGGTGCGAGCCGTCGTCCTGCAGGTGAATGGTCTCGATCTCCATGCGCAGCTGGGAAGGGGAGAAAGGGAGTGGGGAAGTGGGGGAAGGGGAGAATCTTTTCAAGAGAGGAGAAAGGAGTGGGGAAGTGGGGGAAGGGGAGAATCTCTTCAAGAGAGGAGAAAGGAGTGGGGAAGTGGGGGAAGGGGAGAATCTTTTCAAGAGAGGAGAAAGGAGTGGGGAAGTGGGGGAAGGGGAGAATCTTTTCAAGAGAGGAGAAAGGAGTGGGGAAGTGGGGGAAGGGGAGAATCTTTTCAAGAGAGGAGAAAGGAGTGGGGAAGTGGGGGAAGGGGAGAATCTTTTCAAGAGAGGAGAAAGGAGTGGGGAAGTGGGGGAAGGGGAGAATCTTTTCAAGAGAGGAGAAAGGAGTGGGGAAGTGGGGGAAGGGGAGAATCTTTTCAAGAGAGGAGAAAGGAGTGGGGAAGTGGGGGAGCCCGAAGGCGTTGGGGAATGAGCCACCGTCCTGCAATGGTCTCGATCTCCATGCGTGCTGGGGAGAAGGGGTGGGGGGGAGTGGGGAGGTGGGGTTGGGAAAGAGATGGTGAGGTCGGCGGGTGGTTTTGCTGATGCTGATGCTGATGCTGATGACGATGCTGATGCTGTTGCTGATGCTGATGCTGTTGCTGATGCTGATGCTGTTGCTGATGCTGATGCTGTTGCTGATGCTGATGCTGTTGCTGATGCTGTTGCTGATGCTGATGCTGATGCAATGCTGATGCTGATGCTGATGCTGTTGCTGATGCTGATGCTGATGCTGATGCTAATGCTAATGCTAATGCTAATGCTAATGCAATGCTGATGCTGATGCTGATGCTGATGCAATGCTGATGCTGATGCTGATGCTGATGCTGTTGCTGATGCTGATGCTGATGCTAATGCTAATGCTAATGCTAATGCAATGCTGATGCTGATGCTGATGCTATGCTGATGCTGATGCTGATGCTGTTGCTGATGCTGATGCTGATGCTGATGCTGATGCTGATGCTGATGCTGATGCTGATGCTGATGCTGTTGCTGATGCTGATGCTGATGCTGATGCTGATGCTGATGCTGATGCTGAAGGTGATAGCAATGCGGGCACCCACATTGCTAAAGAAGGGGGTGGTGATGATGGTGATGGTAATGCCAACCTAGTGCATGCATGCGAACCAGTGAGTGCGGGCACGCACCTTGCTAAAGAAGGGGATGGTGATGATGGTGCGGAAGTAGGGGTAGTTGATCCAGCTCTTCTCATCCACCACCAGCGCTGACGGCGGCACCAGCCGGTTCACCTGCATGCATGCATGCACACAGCACGTGCATGGGACCCAGGTGAATGCAATGCAGGAAAAGGGCGCATGCACAGAACGAAGCCTTTGGATTCAAGAGGCCTACACACAATGAAACACGATTCAATCGTTATGCACCAGGTGCACATGCAGAGCAGAGAATTCAGCCAGCAAGTTAAGTATCCAGAAGGAATAAGACACGAGCACCCAGTGTGACAAGGGGGGGTACTCGTTTTCCCTTCTGGTACTCAGTCCAAGCGAGGTGATATTTCAGGTGGCAATGCGCGGCACCCACCCAGTCAGGGAGGCGGTTGCCGAGGCGGAAGAGGCTGTGCGTGAAGAGACCCTCCCCGTGCTGCTCGTGGTAGTAGGGCGTTGATGACAGCAGCTGGGGGCGAGAGAGGGGGGAGATGTAGGGAGATGAGGGAGACAGGGAGATAGGAGGGGGGGAGAACAACGATTGTGGGGATACTGAGTGCCTCGGGCGTCCCGTGGTGAATTCAAAGCGAGTGGAGGAGGGTGAGGGGGAGAAAAGAGGTGTGTGTGACAACTGGGAGCATCGCGTGGAGGCGCCATTTGAAAACACACACAGTAGCGGGATGGCACGGCACTCGAGGGCGAGGAGGAGGGGGAGCAGCAGAGAAGGGGGGGCAGGGAGGAGAGGGAGGGCAGGAAGGGCGGACGGGAGGGCACTGACAGTGCCGCCCTGGCCGGGTTCCGTGGCATCCTCGTTAGTGCGCCAGTTGGCGTACCGCTGCCCGCGCTTGAACTCCTCCACTGCGCACCCCCGCACACCCCCGCCCTCCCCCCCGTGCGCGCGCCCCGTGGCGTCCCGTTCCGCCTCGTGCCATGCCATGCCATGCCATGCAATGCCATGCCATGCCATGTCATGCCAGGAACGTGCAAGGAGAAGGTATCGAAATAATCAGCGGGGGGGAGAACCAGCGGAAGGGCATGGGAGTGGTGGACATGGCGGAGCGCGAAGGGATGCGAAGCGGAAAAACATCCAGCTGCTTAATCGGTCAACTCCTAGACGCGCCTCCGCGCCTATCGTTTTCCGCATGTTCACGCGACCTCCATATTTTTCCCGCCGACCCACCCCCGGCCCTTGACACGCACATGTGAAGGGCAGCACGATTCGCAGCTCCGTTAGATGCACCATTGACAAGTGTCAACGCTGTATTGGGCTCGCGATAGTACAAATATTAGCGTGAGCTGCGGCTTGGCAGGCAGCGATTTGACTACTGTGAGCTGTGGAGTGGAACCCGATTCGCGTACTTTCGAACTCAGGGCCCAGTTTCCGTGATCTGCGCCAGCACGTGTGCGTGAGATGATGCCAGCACAGGGCTATAAATGAGACTGGTTACTGGAGGTACTGTACTGTAACCTCCAGCTAGAGATTATTCTGGAGGAGCGCGACGATTCTGAGAATGTTTCCGAACCGCCTGTACCGTTTTCGCGGAACCCCAGAAAGTTTCGTGCAGCTGTGCTGGTGAGCTGGAAAACGTGTACGCCCAAGAATTGGGGAGGCTGGGCCAATCAGGTTACTGATGGAATCTGCCTGGTGAGAAACCTGCCACGTAGAAGTCGCGGTAGTCTCCACGTTTGCTTTCTGTTGTGCTGTAACTGGTTTCAATGCAGGAGATGCTTGATAAACTTTTAGGTTAGAAAAATACCAAATTAGTCTTACTTTATGCGCAGATTCATTCGACAATACTAAATCATATGGATATCAAAGTTGCTTTGAATCTAGAAAGTCGATCAGTTTATCAACAATTGTTGTCATCTATGTGCTATCGCTAAGACGGGCCTTATGCCTTTCGCAGGCGGCTTGAGTTTGCATGCAAGTAAGCTTATGTGTTTCGCTCCATGCATAACTGTTGAAGAAAGAGTTAACTAGAAGCTAGGGTTTTGGAGAGGCTTGGCAAGGAGAATCATGGAGGGAGGAGTTTGGCCAAAAGGAGGACTTTGATATTATTATAATTTTTAAACACACATGTAGTGTTTTTTAAAATTGTGTATTGTGAAAGCGAAGCTGCTTGTACTGCACAATTGGCATCGTCGAAGCGCGCTAAACGCCCTTCTCCAACTACAAAAACCGTGGGTTGGAGCTCATTTCCCTCCACCCACGTTTCTCAATTTTCAAACGGCTCACTCAACATTTTCCGCTCGAGTAGTTTTTCCCTCCAAGCTGGCTAGGATTAAATCGCTTCCTAGAGGCGAGTCACCCTCTACTTTACTCAGCCACATTTTCAATTTCAATCGCTCAACGATGGCACCTACGCCGACACTTAACAACGGGAACTCGTCAACCCCCGCTTCCGACTCCGACCGTAACGCCCGCGATTCTGCGGGCGAACGCCGTAACAAGCGTCGGGCAGAAGACGAACCTTCCGCCCCGACTGCAGTGGACGTGCTGCTGGGCGGGCTCGAGGTCCACAAAAACGCCGAAACCCAGCAGCACCCTTCGGTCCCTGTGGCGCCAATGGCGCCTGTGGCGCCAGTGGCACCTGTGGCGCAAGTGGCGACGGGGACTGGCGCGGCACACGCGACTGACGCCGAGCACACGCCAGCACCCGCTGCTGGACCGTCGCGTCAGCGTCAGAGGAGGCGGACTGCAGTCTCCTCGTCTGACGCGACCGCCGCCCCTGCGCTGACGCAGGCGTTGACCCCGGACCAGGTCAACGCGCTGCTGTCCCTTCTACAGCAGCAACCCGTCAGCGTTACAGCCGCGGAAACTGCACTACCCGCCGCATCTGCGTCGGCTAAAAAAGAAACTGCAAAAAAGGAGAAAGGCACACGGGGAGCACGGACGAACCGGCATGACAACGACGCAGCGACTGCCGCTCCCCCTGCTCCAGCGGTCGACAACGACACCGACGACTCTGAAGATGAAGCCGGTGAGGCTCCAGTCAACAATGTTAATTTTATTGGCACGGAAAACCTTCCCCCCCTCCCTTCTTCTAATCTTACCTTCTCGGCGACAACCTTCGTCAATGACTCCGTGCGAGAGCAAGCGGAGCTACTGGAGGACCTGCGGGCGTACCTGCTGCACGCCGAATACAAGGCGCAGCGCGGTGATCCGGCGGGCGGACTCGAACTCATCTCACACGCTCTCAACCTCATCGCGGGGCGTTTCGAGGTGCTTCAAGTGGAGGACGCCTCCGACTTTCGCACGGCGAAGCGCTTTAAGCTGTACCAGCAGAAGAGCCTGCTGACTTCTCGACCCTTCAAGCAGGCGGTCGCGGACATGGCGGCGATGGACCGTGCGGCAAGCGGATACGCTCGTGTCAACCGCGGCGGAAACAACGGGCCGATGCCGTTCTTACCCAAGCGAGGCCCCCCGCCCACGGCCAATTGCCGTGGGTTCCGGGGCTCATGCTTCCGCTGCGGCCAGCCGGGCCACGTGGCAAGTGCCTGCCCTCGGAACGGGCATGGAGGCCAGGGACCCGCTCCGGTGGTGTAGGAGCGGGCCATGAGACTAGGCGCTTGGGCGCTAGGCACGGTGCACTCTTGAGTGCGAAAACCGTGGGCAACCCTAGGGGTTTGCGATGGCAAGAGGCCAGCCCTAGTAAAGGGTGGGATAGGCTTGGGCCTAGGATAGGGAAGGGGAACAACAACCCCTCGGTCCCATATGTTGGCCACTTGGTGGCATGCTAGGAAAGCATTGCTATGTGTGTTGGTTGATTTAATAAAAACTACCTTCCTAAAGGCCTATGGTTTTGGCAAAGAGACTATGAAAATCAAGAGGAGGAGCAGAGAGAGAGAGAGAGAGAGAGAGAGAGAGAGAGAGAGAGAGAGAGAGAGAGAGAGGGAGAGAGAGAGAGAGAGAGAAAGAGAGAGAGAGAGAGAAAGAGAGAGAGAGAGAGAGAGAGAGAGAGGGAGAGAGAGAGAGAGAGAGAGAGAGAGAGAGAGAGAGATAAGAGAGAATGAGAGAAAGCACAATGGACAACGGTGTCCATGGCCCTAGGCATCAGCCCCTACGCACTAAGGGCAGGCACAACCATGTCCTACCAAGTGGACGACGGGGCAAGAAAAAAAAAAAAAAAAAGGGGAAACGAGGAGAAGAAGAGACATGCGTTGACATGCGTTAACATTACCGACACATTCGTTGACATTTCATTCAATTGTTCACTCTCTTCACACCTTCGATCAATGGTTGCCCGTACAAGTACATGCACACGCATGCTTTAACGTGGAATACTCAAAGCTTATACCACTTGGCCTCAAATGTACAGGAGCACGACGGTGCGAGGCGGCATGCCACGACGATCCGTACGAATTTGCCGTTACAGACAGAACTATTACACACATGCGCGGTCGTCTTCGCGCGACATTTGCGTGGTGGAGCTCATGGTGCCCCAGCAGCCTTGTCCTCTCCGTCATCGCCAAGGGTTACTGGTTGCCATGGAGCCACGGCCCACCGCAACATTTCCACGATCGCAATCATGTCGGGGCAAACACGCATGCCACGTTCACACGTACCGCCATCCAAGAACTCATAGAGACGGGAGCGGCAATTCCGATGGCCGCAACGGAGCTTACATGCATAAGTCCACTCAACGTGGTCGAGCAAAAAGACAAATGCAGGCTCATTCTTGATCTGAGGAAAGTCAACGCCAACTTGATCATCCCCAAGTTCAAGTACGAAGGGCTCAGCCGCGTCGCCGACCTTGCGCGCGTTGGGGACTGGATGTTCTCCATTGACCTCAAATCTGGTTACCACCACATCGACATCCACCCATCGTGCTGGAAGTTCCTTGGCTTTGAATTTGATAAGCGCACATACGCATTCCGTTCACTACCATTTGGCCTCGCGACAGCTCCATTCGTTTTCACGCAGCTCATCAAGCAACTAGCTCGGCGTTGGCGAGAACAAGGCATCCGAGTCGTACCTTACGTGGACGACATCTTATTTCTCTGCCAGTCGAAAGAGGACGCGCAAGCAACTTGCCAGCGGGTGATATTGGATCTTAAAGAGGCAGGCCTTGTGATAAACGCGAAGAAATCACAACTGTCACCATCGCAGCGTCTCCGATTCCTGGGCGTAGAACTCGAGACCGATACCGGCCGATTCTCCATCGGTCCGGACCGACGAGCCTCACTACATGCAACCATCCGGAACCTCCTGAGCGCAAGCAAGGCATGCCGACCAGTCCCGGTCCGCCACGTGGCCAGAATCACTGGCATGCTCGCATCGATGGGTGTCGCACTTGGCGCAACAGCTCGCGCATTCAGCCATGCTATGTTACAAGTGATCGACGACGCACCGTCATGGAAAAGCAGCGACGTTATCCCCCCATCTGCAGCAGAAGAGCTCCAATTTTGGCTCGAGGAGTTCGACCGTTTCAACGGCGCACCTTTTCACGTCAAGAACAGCTACAACGCGGTAATCCACGTGGATGCCAGCTCTCATGGTTGGGGCGCCACTCTGACCACATTTCCGGGTGGCATCGAAGAAGCTAGCGCAACCATGTCAGAGCCGCTACGAGGAACGTCCAGCACGCGACGGGAGATCGAAGGCGTCCTTTGGGCGCTACAAACGTACGCGAACAAGATCAAGCAAAAACACGTTCTCGTGCGGGTGGACAACCAGGGCGTATTCTTCATCCTTCGCAAAGGCGGCTCTCACAGCCCCGACCTCACAACGGCATGCAAGAGCATCATCCGAACATGCATGGCGCTTGGCACGCGCTTGATCATTGAATGGATTCCGCGCGAGCTCAACACACACGCCGACGAGCTTTCAAAAATGGTCGACCACGACGATTACGCGCTGAAAACGTCGTGGTTCCGGATCTTGGAACGTCGTTGGGGTCCTCACTCCATCGACCTTTTCGCAAACTCCCGCAACACCCAACTGCCGCGCTTCTGTTCAAAGATTCCCCACCCGGCAGCCATTGCAGTTGATGCGTTCTCGATCGCGTGGACACCTGAAAACAACTTCGCCTTCCCCCCACCTCAACTGGTCCCAGCCGTCCTCCATCACGCACAACGCACCCATGCATCACTCACACTGATAGTTCCGCACTGGCCAGGCGCAAGCTGGTGGCCACTCTTGCAACCCTCCCCACGCACTTGGGCACCACACATCCACGCGCACATCCCTCTGACACACGGAAGCCAATGCCTAGACGTAGGGTCCCATTCAACTGCTTTTTC